CGATCAAGTTGCTTGATGAAATGACACAATGTGGATATGTTATTGCTGATAAAACAAAGACCACGCTAAATTGATGATTTAAATCATTTATAACAAATGTATTTTTATGTAAAACCATAAAATGAGACCGTGTACAATTTTAAATGATTACTTCGTATCTGCACTTCTCTGCTATATGTTGAAATGCTATTATTGATAATTGATTGCTTTTTTTTGGTCAAACCAATTTTTCATTAAACTTAAAGAGTTTAACCTTTGTTTAGGAAGGTCACAACAAAGCCACAAATAACTAAACAATCCAATGCTACAATCAACATATTAATGAAGCAAATGGTAAAATTAAAGCAACAACTACTCAAGTAGAGCCTTGGGGATAGAAGAGAACTCAAAAGTTCAAGCAAAGTAGTATACGACAAAGGACAAACAAGATCCTGATCGAAACCACTAAGAGAAGGAATCAACACTTCCATGGTCGTTGAGGCCAAATAGACAATATCATCTATTGTTGAACGAAAAATGTTTATAGTCCTCGCTTCTGCTCAAAACAAATTCACCTTCAACACTATGCTCTCTATGTCACTAATCACAAGTGAAAAAAATAGGAGGAAAATAAACTCCATAAAGGAGAAGAAATTACATTGAGAGTCTGAAATTATGAGTTTGGGAGGGGGAGAGGATACAATATAATTTTCAAAATTTTAATGTTCGCGAAAGATTAATGATTAGTTCATGTTCCACCACTTAATGACGAGATTTATTATTTTTGTTATTACTTGGGTTTGTTAGATGTCCAACCTGTTTCGAAGATATTCGAACTGTCCGTGGAGTAGTATATCCTGCGTTTATAGATACACCTTCTGCGTTTGGTTTGCCGAAACTATTTTATGGTCTTCTAAAAATGTGATGGATAACTATGTATCCATTCTTTCAAATATTGTCGGTGAGGGTGAATGTAAGAAGATTATTGTTGCTACATGTTGTGGTTTGGCATGACGTAGTTTGGAATATGATTCTTTCCTTGAATATTTTCTTATTAATTATTTTGGTGTTTAGTTGTTTTTATGTTATCTTGGTTTGTTGTAATAACTTTAGATTCTCATAGTTTTATAATTTTGGTTTTATAATTTCTAAAGCTATGTTTTGTTTATTGTATTTTAAATATATCATTTTTATATACTAATTTATCAAATCTCAAATATGATATATAAGTCTTTTTCAATAATACTATCCCGCGCAGGGCACAAGTACTACACTAGTAAACAAATTAACTACAAAGCTAACAAAATAAGAAAATTCATGTTTTCCATAAAAGTTACACATATACATATGTCAAACTTATACAGAAAAAACATAATTAGATATCTTAAATGTAGACTACAAACGAAGTCTACACATATGACCTATATAAATAGGCAAACGTGATTTAGCGGAAAAAATTAATAACACATCTATGATATTGTTTAAAATATATTTAATTAAATAAATATAAAATACATTGGTTTATGGGTTTGTTTCAGTTTTGAACCAAACCGAACTGTTCGGGTGGAAAAAAAACACAACCAATGGTTGGTGTACATACTTTGGTTTAGA